TGCAAAATCATAAAATTAAGCTAGGTAAATATGCAATTCCAAAGAGTTATTTGGCATTGTCCATGAATGCTGAAAATGCAACTCTTGGTCTTGTAAAGAAAAAATTGTAAGTTCTATGAGTTCTAATGACGGAATGAATATTGACAGTTGTAAATTTTCTGATTTCTATCTCACAACTTTTGAATCACTTGAGTTGCAACATGTATTTGTCCACAAATATTGTCCTTTGGGCTAAATGGACCTAGGCACAACAGATCAGTGTAGTTTATCAACAGGAAATATAATGCATGTTGTGGTTTGTTGTGTTCCGCAACCTCATTGCGCGTCTCCTCAATGATTCCTGAAAACAATAAACTTGTATTTAGATATTTTTATTAAATGCTTCTCAATAAAAATATAAGGCTATAATGAAATTAACTGTTTTTTGTGTGAGCCAGAAAACTCATGAGCAATAACTCCATTGTAAAATCTAATTAGTTACTGTATCAAATTTTGACACTCGTCATGTTGAAAATCACATCGCAGAGAGATACAATGTTAGTTCTCCTTCAGCATGATGATCATGGCTTCTTCTGCCTGCAGTTGGACAAGTACCTGTAAAAATAACCATGTGTCATAAAAATACTATTAAGTACAACAGTATGGTAAGGTAAATAATACAAAATTAATAATGTCCACTACAGACGACTTTGCACAACATAAAATGAATCGTAAGAAAATATTGCTGGTCCAATGAAATGTGAGTAAAATTATGCAGCATTCAAGACTCATGAAATATAAAAATTCATCTCACCTGATCATAAACTTTCAGTGTGTAAAACAAGACATAGCAGTTAATTTGAATTGTTGGTGACCGCAAAAAGTCATAAATGGCATCAACCTGCTTCACAGAGTAAGTTGTGCAATGTCCTTCCAACACAGCAATTGTCTGCCCATCATGTGGTTTTATATTTGGTTTGGAATTTGTATATTTGTCTTCATAAAAAAAGTGCATAAAGTGGTCCCAGTTTTCAAACAATCTTTTTAGGCATCTTGCAATACTAAGCCATCTGGTGCATGCATGCTTGATACTTTTCATCTGTTCTGCACCATACAGGACTTGCAGGTTTTTCAATTCACACTGTCTCTTCAAACGTTTCTTGAAGAAGTAACAAACGTCAACCAGGACCTCCTCAACTGGGGGTAGACAGGAAGCCCCACTTTTTAGCTGCAAGATGCACCAGATGGAGGCAGCGTCATGCCAGATAAATGTCTTGCTCTCCTTTAATAAAACTGTATACTCCATTAATTTTATATCTGTTATGAATAAAAGAAAATTAAATAATAAAGATATTAATGAAAATGTCTGGTATGACACTAAAATAATTATTCCTATGGCACAAATCATCTTTAAAGCTGCACTCAGAAATTTGCTTTTTTTATTTTATTAAAACATAGTTTCTACGACATTGACAAAAAGATGTCAAGGATGTACTTTTTACTCAGTGCTTCTTTAAACTTTGATTTCAAAATGTTTTTTGCAATCGTTTTGACACTCAATAACTACAGTAAGTCCTTGAGGGGATATATTGTTTAAGGGATAGACCTGTTTTGTGGGTTCTAAAACTAAAAATATATTTCAATATTCAATATTTCAAATGTGACTAACTAGATATTAAAAAACATGTCCAAATCCAACTTCCCGGTGCAGAAGAGTTGGATAATGTATTTTATTTTAAAAACCTTCTCTAGTTTTCTCCGTTTTCACAATGCTGCGGTTCTAGCGAACAAAATAATTATGTAACAAAACTACATCTCACACGCCTGGTTGCAGAAAAGGGGGATGGTCGAGTGAAGTTATTGCGCGGGCAACTAGACTAAATATTACTGTTGACGCATCTAGGTAGTTCATTTTGACGCACAAAGCAACAATATGACAATCATTACCGTCTTTTTGTTCATGTACAATTACCATTTAACAAAATTGAACAAGATAAATAAAAAAAAAAGTAGCCTACAGTTCATAAATCTTTTGTCATTTACGACGCCATTGTGGGAAAACAAGGAGAACTCTTCTGTCTTCAAAGATGCGTTATAAAAGTTGCCCAATTGGATATATTTAGATTTAAATAATCTTTTAAACATTTTATAGATCTATCTACTTTGTCTGATATTTCTTTCTAGCCCACTGGATCCATGCACAGCAATGTAAAGGTGGTACTCGCAAGGGACCTCAATATCAGGGAGCGCATTCGCCCAGGGCGCTGTCGTTCCTTTGCACGGTTGTGCATCCATTACATACGTAACACGGCTAGAATTTTGAGGGTGGGGGTTATGTAGGAAATATTTGTTAAAACTTTAAATAAAATTGTCAATTTCCTTTCTTAAAATTTGATTATTTGTGACAGTTTCGATTTCTTTCTCAATAAATAGCTGGTGATTTACTAAGACTAAGAGGCAAAAAGCGGGAAAGTAATGAAATATATGTCAGTAGCGAAATAAACACCATTGCAAACAGATGACTAACAAAGCAACTTGGTTCCATCAAGATACATAAAATCACTAACACTGCCTCTCATTTTACTCACCACAAACCAGAGTCAACTTAGGTGGCATATACTAAATAATTAAGTGTCATCTATCAAGCTGACCAACCATAGACCTTTAAATAGCTTATTTGCCTACTATGAATCACAATTGTCAAGAAAAAGTCAATCCACTTGCATAGGAAGGGGGCTATGGAGGGGGTGGTCGACACAGGTGCCACTTTTAAAAAAAAAATATATTGAGGGCGGCATTTTCGGCGAGCTGAAGAGTTTTTTTTTTTTTTTTTTTTTAAACTCAGTGGTAGTGGGTGGCACAACTTTCTAGTTAACATATCGCAACATAACCACTGGTCCGCTCGAAATGTTTCCCAGATCTGCTCATTATGAGTGAGGACACGTTACACATCACCCAACGCTTGGACATTGGTCGCTCTCTCAGTCTCTGTTGTTGGTGGAATTCTATTACGTAGCCGAGTCTCTCGCCTCGCACCTTTTTTTGCTCATGCGCCGTTTCCCTGGTCTGGTCTGCTGATTACCAAAGTCATTCTCTGATACACTAAAGTAATACGTCGGCATAGCTAGAGCGACGTGGCCTCCACGGCCTTGGCATGTTTCTGTTTAGTAAGGCTGTGGGCAGCAATGCAGTCGCCGCGGCTTACCCGTTTATAGGTTTACTTTAAGCAGATTTCTGATCGTTAATGCTGCATAATTTTTATGGTTTGTGTCCGCTGCGGTGGCCGCGCAAATGAACGCAGGACAAGTAAACCCACAACTCACCATAACACACCCAAACACAGGACTAGTGAACCAACGGACAAGTTAACACGCAGAAAAGTGAATACCGGTATTATAGAACATAGACAGCTGAACTCAACAACTGGGTTTGAAAGGCCTTGCTGAGATAATCGTCATTCTTGACTTGTTCTTGTAAATTTATTTTCACTGCAAATTCGCAATGATTGGTTCCGAAAGAGTTCAACTACTTTTATAAATATGTAAATTTTTTTAATGTGCTGAGAATTATTTTTACAAAATTGTGTAAATAACCATTTTTATTATATTTCTTGGGCAGATTTTTGTGCCAAGGAAAAAAGTTTAAAATTATTTCAGTGTGTTTTAGATCGTCTTTGGAATAATGTCTTTTAAAATCCTTTATCTTAACTTCATTTTTGTTCATGGCCGGCTGGGTGGCAGACGGGCAAAATCTGCGGACGACTAATTGACCCACTTCCCGTCAACCTATTGAGCTGAAACTTGGCACACAGACTCGTCGAAAACACATTCTTTCGCCTTTCCAGCCCACATCCTTAACCCCCCCCCCTCTAGATATAACGCGACCAACATTGTAGAAATGGACCCAAACACGCAGCGCCGCCATTCGCACCCGGATACCATTAGACTCAAGCTATTCTGATGTCATTTGTGGTCGTTTATTTTAGTTAAACTGAAGAAGTAAGTTTACAAACATATACTCCATTCAATTATATTTCATTTGATACCCCATTTTGTCTTACAAATCCAACAATAATATTTTTAAAAGTTTTTTTTTTTTTTTAAATCCCAACCTCTCACTTCTGGTACACGGGCATGGGCGCCCGCACGTAGTGGCAAGGTGGGGCACTTAAAATTTTTAAAAAAAAAATTTTATTAAAGTAAAGAAAAAAAAAAGAGAAAGTAACTAAGCTGATGTCCTGCCCGTTCGTGCATCATACAAATACGCAACATTAAATAAAAACTAAATTAAAACATTATTAAAAATGTTTTTGCCCCCCCCCTGGAAAGTTAATCGACTTTTTGCCCCCCCCCCCCTGGAAAGTTTTCTGCGGGCGCCCATGTACACGGGAACGAATAGTAGCAGAATCATAATTGAACCATACTTTCTTTCAAACATTTAGAATTGCTCTTGACTTGTATATATAATCTCAAACCCAAATTCACTGATTAGGAAGCAGTCCATTAGGAAGCAGACCACCAGTCACATCACACCAGAAGCGTAAAGTTAAGTAACTTAAGTAAAGTAATATAATATACTAGATATAGCCCGCAAAACATTGGCGACCCAATTTTTTTTCTACACCCCTACCCACATGATACGTCACTGCATACTTTTTAGTTCACGCCCATGAACGATATTAATATGTTCTAATGTCCCAACCACTTTAAAACCAAATATTTTTTCACACCATACTTATATTAATTATATTGAGACGACTTCATTTTCCGAAAAGAAAATATTACGCACCAAACGCAATTGCGGTATTAAAAATAGATATATTTCATTTAGCGTAGTTATCGGGAATTATATTTTATATATTACAATGTGACTGGAATAGATAACGTGTAATTTGTATTATTAATTATTTTGTTCAGTTGAGATTTTAAAGCCCAGGTGACTATTGTCACAGATGAGATAACGTGTAATTTGTAGTATAGATCCTTTTGTTCAGTGAAGATTTTAAAACCCTGGTGACTTTTGTCATGTGATATGTCATGTGACTTTTCTCTTTGTCACGTGTATAAAAATCACATGACAGAACTAACAAAATTTTCTGCGATATAAGGACACCAATTAAACGTGTTCTACCTCATATTCCAAACAGATATTGTCTCATTTTTAATTTATTCAGTTAATTTTTGTTTTTCGTCATGTCTTTTCTTAATATTGGATTTGGACTTTTTTCGTTTTTTTGCTGCTTGGTAGTAAATGTAAAGGCAGATACTCCAGCAAATTGTACTTATGAGGACGTTGCTGGGCAATGGATCTTCGATGTTGGACCAGGAAATAATGATCGGACTATTGACTGTTCCAAATTCTCATCAGGCAAGCATTCTTCGTCTAACTTGAGTGTGATAAATTAAGCTAAATTATTTCTTAGCGCAAATCGTTTTCTTAATAAAATGAGGACAGAATCTGATCTTAGTATTAGTAGTAGTACTAGTCTGGACTAGTCTACACAATCATGTCAATAATTATAATTTGGCGGAACTGTACCGGGTAGTAGTATTAAATTAATTAAGTATATTCAATAAATTATACTTACTGTAAAACTCAGTTGCACATCTCAGAAAATGCATCATGACTATGTCAATATTCATGAAATTGAAAGAATTGAAATGCCATGCCATGATTCATGATCAATTTATTCATCATCTTTTGGCAATATCCATTCAACACTAACACTGGCAACAGTTTTAAAAATAGTAAAATCAATATTCAAGGTGGAGTACATTTTTAAATATTAAGTTAATGATAGCATGGAAACCAGTTTGCTCAATGGTTTACTAATTGATTTGAAATAAAAAATGATAAGTGAAGACAATTTTTACTCTCCTATGCCTGTTAGTATTAGAGCAATAAATAGACTCCTATATTGTGTAGGCCTACCAAGGTTTTGCAAACTTGACCCAGTGTCCCAGCTGGTATGGTAGTTTGGTATTCACTACAGTTTTCAAATTTATTTCAGTGGCTATTTAAAAAAACTATAATTTGTCCTGTCTTATGACCAGGTTAGATAATAGCCTATATAATATCAAATTTTGCCTCTTCTTAGTCATAGCTAGGCTACACTATTGGATGTGTAAAAGTGTGACAGTTTAAATTTGATAAAAAATCTTTGGTGCTATATGATATGGCAATGATATGCCTTATTACTGTATGATTTAACTGGGTCTAGCTCATCATTTGTGGGAGATTTACTTGTATGTTTTTGAACTGTGGATATGCCGGGGAGTTTCTTATCCATGGCCACAATCTATACAGAGTGGTTATTCATAGTCTGCTGGGAATAACATTGAGCTTGAGGCAGTACAGCTATCATAACAAAATCTGTTAAAATTAAAACAAATTATAGATTCAATACAGCCCATATTTCTGGTACATTCTTTTTTTAAAATTGCTAGCAGAAGTAAACCATTTATCAGCTGGAAATAGCACTGAATGTTATAAGTTATAACAGTTATACACAGTCTGTTGTGTATAAAGCCTCTCTAATTTATAAGTAGGCCTAATCAATTATTATGAAAATATAACAAATTGCCTAAAAAAACTATTTGATTTATCAATTATTAACTAAATTTAATCTTGGGCATAAGACAATTAAAATTAGGCCCTTGGGCTAGGTCTAAAATGCTAAATTTAGGCCTTGGCCTAATAATTGTAATACATAATTTTTAGGTTTGAAACCGCGACCTAAAGACATGGGAGTAGGTTTCTACTGTACTACAGCACTGTGTCAATAAAACCAAATAAGAACTTGTTTTTCTTTAAGTTACTTAAAGCTAAAACTAAAAGACTGCTTCACTTAAAAAATGAGTATTAAAACTAGTGGTTGAGGTGAGGATACTAATAAGCATAAGTCATTAGTTTTTGAAAACAAGTTGTGTTCATATTGTTTAAGGAACCAGGTGTAAGTTTCATTACTGTGATACTCTTTCCTAGGAGATAATCCTACCAACAATTTTTCTCCCACTTACCACTAACATTTACTGAAAAGCAACAATTTCCATGGGACTGTATTTACTGTATACTAATGAATAGTAGCCTATACTATATTAATATAGTTTAGGGTTGAAATGGCTAGAAAGACTTTGCCATTGTATGCTTGTAATTAGTTTTTATAGTGTTGCGTTTGTTTTAAGTGTGGTGAATTATAAATTTGTTTTTTGTTGACTTTGTACCGCGCTTCGAGCCTTTGGGGATGAAGCGTGTTTTTGAAATGAACTTTATTATTATTATTTATTATTAATATTCTTTATATATTAATAACATTAATTCAATATCTTCCATTTTTTTGTAGTATAGTTTATGAAGATTCAAAATAGTGATTTTAAACATACGTAGGCCCTATAGTAATAATATAGATAATGCTGGTGACTATAACCCAGTTTCTGTTGTTTTCTTTTAAAATTAAAATTTTTGTTTTGTTTTCAAACCATTACTGATTACTTTAAAGAAACATATCAGTAAGAAACTATATAAATAACTACAAAATTAACTTAAGACTTAAGTCCGACTTTCAATGGAATTTTACTTATCTTTTCTGATGTAACTAAATGGTAATCTTAATATATTTTATTTCTTGAACAGGTCAAAATAAAATTAAAATTAGGCTTATCTATCCGGATGTTGCTATTGATCAATTCAACAACAAAGGTTTCTGGACTTTGATATATAATCAGGTATGTTTAATGGTTCTAAATTAAATATTAGGTGGGACAAACTTAACATGCCCTTTATTATTACAAAACATTTCATTGACAATCACAATGAATCAAAGATTATTCATTATAAATATTAAATAAGTAAAATTAATTTAAGGGAACAAACATATTGTGTCTCAAAAGTGAATAATGATGAACTAACTTTAAATTTTTTATCATTTCATTTTTGAAGTATTTGCATTTTTTTATTAGCCAGAGACAGACAGCTTCAAATAAACAATCATAAATGTTTCAATTGACACTCCAGTCTTTGCCTGATAAGAGTCACAGTGAGCAGATAAGGAAATACATTAACTGTCATAATATGACTAATGATTCCAATTTTTCATCATATATCAGTTGCATCGTCATGTATACATGTTTAAATAAGTGATTTTCAAACTAATCAAACGGACAAAGTTTGTATTCAGCTACATCAGAGGATAATATGTGACAAATTGGCTCAGGATTTATTGCCTTTAATATTTTTGTTGCATTTTCATATATTTTCCCCAATAACATGAAATTTAATATTTCATAAATTATTATGATTGTGCTCTAGTTTTTTACATATTCAATGCACTTTTTTCCAGGGTTTTGAAGTTGTTGTAGCTGGACGCAAGTACTTTGGATTTTCATACTTTGAAGGCAACGTCAGTTTCTGTGATACAATTAAAGGTGGCTGGTCACATGATGTTCTTGGCCGTGACTGGGCATGCTACAATGGGAAGAAATCTCAGAATGCTAGAAAAGTTTTGAATCTGCGTCATCAGGACTCAAGTCTCAGATATGGTCATGGGTGAGGCTATAGGACACTAGTAACTTTTATATCATTAGCCAAATTATTATAATCTTCAAATTCACAGTTGAGTCCTTCATTATATTTGTACGCCCTTCCAGTCGCTCTCAGAAACAGCCAGACACTGGAGTCCTTTAAAACCAATTTAAAAACAAATCTATTTCGCAAACACCTTATGGGGTGATGCTATCTACCATCTTTTTCAGTTAATGTATATTGGCTTGTGTTGCTTATGGTTGAAACGGGATGAAAGACTTTGACTTCGTGTGCTCGTATGTAGTTTTATATTGTTGCGTCTGTTTTTAAATGTGGTAAATTTTAGATTGTTTTTATTTATCTTTTTAATATGGTTGACTTTGTACAGCGCTTGGAGCTTTTGGGGATGAAACATGTTTTTCAAATAAACTTTATTATTATTATTATTATATTGAACCTTTGCTGATCCAAATTTAAACAATCTGACCAAAGTCACAATCTTTAAATTAAATGTATTATCAAAAGCCAATTTTCAGAACACTGTTCATTGCCACAATCGAAAATGTTTTAAGCCTGCAATCCCATTATGTAAAGTTAATTGAAATTAAGTCCCAAATAATTTTTTCAATCAGGTACATGATGCACAAAATATTGTTATCAGGCTGTTTAGAATTATCACTCATTATTAATCATATGGCTCTCCAACGATCCAGTTTAGGTCAGATAATGAAGACTCATACTGTAGCTCCTTCAATAAAAATGGCTTGGTTTTGGTTAAAATCTCTCATCCTCTTTGTCGGGGGTACAGTTATGAGATAGTTCATCCCTTCTTTGCTAAGTGTATAAATAAAAAACAATTCTGGTTTTGGCTCTATTTCAATCTTTCCCAGCAATTGTTAATATTTCCGTGACACATGTCTAATGCAGACTCCTTTTTTCAAGTACCAGGAAAGTGGCTTGTTCATAACCTATTTAAAGTTTGCATGAAGTGACTGTTTAACATTATTCCAGATAATTGTAATTTTAAAAAATCTTTCAATAAAAAATTTCCCTACAAGAATACATTGTAGTCACAGTGTTTTCAAAAATAGCCTAAAATAAGAAGCATGTTCTAAACTTAAGCACTGGAAGCAGTGGCATCACTAGGGTTTGGTGATACCCAGTGGGATAAACTCTATTGTGTCACCCCCTTCAGACTTCTCCATGGACAATATCTGCCAGTCTGAAAGCAGCCTACTGTCCGGTGACACCCTGCTCTAGTGACATCCTACTGTAAGGAGATGCCATGTTATGATGGCACAGTGCTCTTCTAATGACTATGCTTGGTTATGATACCACCTCAAGTAAATTCTGTTAAATTTGCATTTTTTCTTGTTGACCCCTTGTGACCGGATTAACCAGTTGTGGTCTTCACCCATCGTAGCCCTAAGCGATGCCACTTATTTCAGCTCTTTCAAATTTGCATTTTTCTATTCCACATCCTTGCACGTCCCAAGTGATGCTACTGTTGGCTTAATCATGTTACATTATAACATTTTTTTTTGTACTTAAAAATAATATCTACGGACTTTGCTCACTTTAAAAAACGTTCTTATCAGTTTGCTGAGGTTTTTTTTTTATGAGTAGAATTGAAATGGAATTTACAAAACAGATTTCAGGTCAATAGATGATTGTTACCAGAACTCATTGTATGGAAAGGTTTATTAAAATGTATTGCTTGGTTAATATACTGATGCTGAACAAATATTTTATTACAGTCTGAATTCAAATGCTCTTGTGTGGGCCATCAACAATGCACAGACATCTTGGAAGGCGACTACATATAATCAGTTTGAAGGTTTTACCATTGATGATTACATTAACTTAGCAGGAGGAAAGGGCTCTCGACTTCACAGGTATTAAATGAAATTCCCACGCATAAATTTTGTGGGTGTTAGGCCTTATTAAAAATAACTTGATAAATTGGTTAACCATGAAAGACCAATAAACTAAGTCCTGATCATCAGTGTTTTTTTTCCTTTAGTTATTAGTTATTCCACTGAACTGTCTTTTATATATATTCAATATTGCCAATGACCCATCTGAGTTCAATGATAACTTCTAATAGGGGGGAAAATAAAATTGTAGGTGTAAGAGTTATTTATGAAGAACTGGGAATGATATCCATCTACAGCAGCTGAAAGTCCAAGCATGGAAAAGAAAGGCATTAGTTAGGTCTGAGTGGAAGGAAGTAGTGAGGCAGGCCAAAGCCCTACATGGGCTGTAGCGCTACAGGAATGGATGGATGGATGGGAATGATGTCCTCATGGATAAATAGGCTCACTTGCTGTCCACTTTCACCATAGGGATACATAGTCTTACTGTCTCTGCTCAGGGATAAACAGGCTCTCTGTGAACTAACAAAAACCACACAGCTGTGATATGGTCATAAAAAAAGCTAATGGTGGGATGTAAATGCATAGTTTGTCATGTAAATAAGAATCAAATTAGAATTAAGGTAAATTAGAAGTATCTTGACACAATTGAAGGTCATTCTTTACTCAAAACTTTCCATTCATCAACCAGCCGGCCCAAGCCAGCCCCTATCACCGATGAGCAGAGGAAGCTCATGTCCGTGTTCCCTGAAAGCTTTGACTGGAGGAATGTGGACAACGTCAACTATGTGTCACCCATCAGAAACCAAGGTCACTGGAATTTAATTAACTAATTATACGAGTATTGGACTGTGATAAATCTTTCAAGTGGATTTATTAAACACGAACAATTTGTGTAAATAAAACAGTGTAGGTTCAGCTTTAATAATGATCATACAGAATACGAATGTGTCTCATTCAAATTTACTTTAAGTATAAGGTTTGTATTCTGTTCATGAACTGCTTGTTTTGTAAAATTCAATTTTCCACCAAATTTTCAGGCAACTGTGGAAGCTGCTATGCATTTGGATCACTGGGTATGGATGAGGCCAGAGTTCGTATAGCAACCAACAACACACAGCAGCCTGTGTTTTCTACTCAAGACATTGTGGAGTGCAGTCCATACTCTCAGGGTAATTTAGAATACATGCTGTTGAAGCTACTTTCCATGGACTATGATTGTAAAACTTTGTTCTGATCTCTAGAACAAAAAATATTTTGGTCACCCAATCTTTCAGGCTTTGTTTCATTTCCACATTTTTTCTTCTAAATTCTTTATAAAAAATTTAATCACAATGTTTAAAAAAAATCATTTAAAACACTTGCATCTTGTTACGATTAAACCATTTAAGACACTTGTATCCTGGCCCAATTGAACTAAATAAAACTTTGAACTACTTTACATCTCATCCTATAGACATCTTAATCTTATGAACAAACACTCAATTTGATCTTTGGATACCTTAAGATAACTCTGCTGGTTTACCACAGGTTGCAGTGGTGGCTTCCCCTACCTTATAAGTGGCAAGTATGCTGAGGACTATGGTCTGGTCCTTGAGGGCTGCAACCCGTACAAAGGTGTTGATGGAAAATGCCAGACTGACCCCAAGTGTCCCCGCCACTATTTCACCAACTACAAATATGTCGGAGGGTACTATGGAGCGTAAGTTTGACTTTACTTTAATATCCGGGTTTTCCCACTAATTTTAAGGCATTTTTAATACTCGAAATAAAATTGGTGGTACTTTATATTTATGTTTACTTAACAATCAGCATTTTTAAAGTTTTTCAAGGTGTCAGAATTGTTAAATAAATCTATAGCTTGTCTTATGACAAAAAAACTTTAAAATGGCTGAATATCTCACAGAAGTAATTATTAAACTTGCTGTCACACTTCAGCTCGAGTGTTTGACCAGGGATACCTGAACAAAATTCCACCTTATTTCTCACTAAAATGTTGTCAGGAAATATTTGATGAAATATCTTGACCAAACTAGATTTATCTTGTATGTGATTTTGACATAAAAAAACAAAAGAAAAATGAAATAACAAGGCATTAAAAGTATTAAATATGGCCTTTTTTTCCCTCACCTTTAAACTCTGAATTTCTCTGAATGCAAATGATAGAATAGTGTACATGACTTTTTTCAAGTCACATTGGCACGTCATTCCATACTGTTCATTCCAATCATTGATAGCCTTCAAATTTCAAATAAAACCAGGCTTTTATCTGAGCTTTGCTTAGTTTGTACCTTTTTTTTTTTTTTTTTCACAGTAAAATTAGTAACAGTAACTAAGTTAGGCTTATTACCAAATGAAACTAGTCCAAATTTTACCCCCCCCCTCCCACTTTTTTCTTAGTTTTTCTTATTTTTTACTTTTTTTTTTTTTTTTGCACAGTAAAATTAGTAACAGTAACTAAGTTAGGCTTATTACCAAATGAAACTAGTCCAAATTTTACCCCCCCCCTCCCTCTCGCAGCTGTAACGAGTTTTTGATGATGGAAGCTATCTACAACCGTGGTCCCATAGCAGTGAGCTTTGAAGTTTACAACGACTTTATGAGCTACTCATCGGGAGTTTATCATCACACAGGAGTCAAAGGCCTGGATGATCGCTTTAACCCATTTGAAATCACCAACCATGTCGTGGTTGTTGTTGGTTGGGGTGTGGACGCTAGAAGCGGGGAAAAGTACTGGATTGTAAAAAACAGCTGGGGGAATGCTTGGGGTCTGGAAGGGTTTTTCTGGATTAGACGTGGGACAGATGAGTGCAGTATAGAAAGTATTGCAGCTGAATCAAGTCCAGTGTACACATTCAATAATTAGGCTGAAACAACTTGCAGTGTACATTTTCGAAAAATTACGCCTGATCAAGTCCATTGTACACATTCAACAATTTGATTGTGGCCAGAGTTAAGTGTTGGCATCAATACAATGGAACAAATGTTTCAGCTGAATTGTCCATTTTATTTTTAAAATGATTAAAATTTTGGGGCATTTTTTTAAATTTCTTTATTTTCTAAAGGTTTTAATTTTTAATGTTCCAAATTTGTTTACATTTATACTAAAAATGTTTTGTATGGCCCAGCATCCTTAGTTTTTGTTTTGATTGGAAGATGTTTTGTGAGGCCTGACATCTTTAAATTGGGTTTTTGATTGGTTTTGGTGTTTTTTGTTTGTTTTGTCCAACTTTAGTTACCTTGCTTAGGTAAAAATTATGGATTAACCTTACAACTGTTGTGGTAAATGGTGTAGATGTAGCAGGAAGATCACATTTTTGTTTACATGCAGGATGTTTCCTAGTGTACAAGAGTTGGACCAATATACTTATCAATTTAATGATCATGCCACCCCTTTTGTTTTGTCTTAGCTGTAATGAAGCTGTGATGATGCAAGCAGTTTATGAGAGGGGCCCAATCGGTGTTGCGTTTGAGGTGTACGATGATTTCTTTAATTACAAATCTGGCGTCTACCATCACAAGCTCTCTGCCGGTCTCAACAAATTCAATCCATTCGAACTGACCAACCATGCTGTCCTTTTGGTCGGATGGGGAGTGGATAAAAGCTCCGGAGAAAAATACTGGATTGTGAAAAACAGCTGGGGCACCGGATGGGGCCAGGATGGATATTTCTGGATTCGCAGAGGTACTGATGAATGCGCCATTGAAAGCATAGCTGTCGAGTCCAGTCCAATATTTACAAACAACCAGTAAAAATAATGTTCCTGGCACTGGTGTTAAATGGAATGCTGTGGATCGTACAATTTTATTATAACATTCCCGATGTTATTTTGTTCATCAAAATAAATCATTTTATTTGTACATCTTGTGTTATATGTTTCTAAAATTGCCTTGCTCTAGGGTAATTTAAGCCCGCATGTGCAGCTCTATTTTCAAATTTGTTGGCATTGCTCGTTTCATGAAGATGGCCAATGTCATTCTAACATGAATGGGTTACTTGTAAAAACCTGATAAATGCTAAGCTAATGTGCTGTCTGGTGTTAATGCTGTTTGAATATTAAATGTTAGAATTTAGCAGTTACTGATTGGATGCATATATTATTCGCTATATACAGTTATAAAGCTGAGCTTTTTAAAAAGTTTCTTGGACTTAAGCGGCAGATTGAAGCAACAGAGCAATTTGTCAACGCTTTTCAGCTGTTCAGCTTTTAGGTGAAGAATGTGTATGTGCCAGTGAAACTGTTGATATATATATATTTTTTTTTATTGTTCTGCAATCAAAAGAAGTCAATGTCACTGTGTGATGTCATCTAGACTGACATTTTGTCATGTTTTAAATATGATTAAAATGCTTTTAGATCTCTCTTGTTTTGAAGGTTTATTTGTTGTACTAAATATCATCATACTATGTCATATGTTTTATCAAAATATGTTATTTTCATTAAACATCGCTAATTACGATGTCAAAACTGACCAGCCCTAAAAAAGGCTAATTAAATATAAAATATGTATTAAAACCTCCTTGATTGGCTATCTAATAACACCAAATTACTCTGATGAAAACCATTAAAACCTACTTGATTGGCTATCTAATAACACCAAATTACTCTGATGAAAACCATTAAAACCTACTTGATTGGCTATCTAATAACACCAAATTACTCTGATGAAGACCATTAAAACCTACTTGATTGGCTATCTAATAACACCAAATTACTCTGATGAAAACCATCAAAACCAACAAGATGCATACATCAATAATAAATAAAAAAAGAAAAGTAGTTTATTCTCTTCAGTGTATAACTTGATAAAAGGGGTTGTAAATTTGTCAACAGAAAAATGATATAAATATTATGAACTGAAACTCATTTGTACATAGGTTACATCCCTTGTAAACAATTCATTAAAAACCATACGCTTTTTAAAAAAAATGCAGTGAAATTATTACAAGAGTTCATCAACATGACTCATACAATAGGTTATTATAGTGGTATCAAGAACTAACGAGTTTCCCTTGACAAATGCTGCACAACGAGTTATACTTTGTCTACTGCCAATTAAACGTACACAATTAAACCAAAAATGTCTCTTGGGGGATTAAGATGAAATACATCTGGTGGCATGATTGTCTCCGTCTGTGAACATATGTGAAATCTGCATCAGTGTGACAATTGGTGACATCTGCATCAGTGTGATAATTTATGAAATCTGCATCAGTGTGAAAATTTATGAAATCTGCACCAATGTAAACATTTGAAAATCTGCATCAGTGTGACAATTGGTGAAATAAGCATCAATATGACAATTGGCTAAATCTGCATCAGTGTGGCCATTGGTGAAATCTGCATCAGTGTGACAGTTGGTTAAATCTGCTTCAGTGTGCACACTGGCGAAGGCCGACAGGCTCAAATGTGTTTCAATTTGAACGACTAAGTCAAAACACCTTTTTAATTTGTCATTCCTACCGTACCCACTAATTCACAAGACAGTTTAATATGTCCTTTTTGCTAACTCACAAGGTTTGCTGTAACTTGTCCTTCTTTTGACTTGGACTTGTTTTGAAAATGAAAAGACTTCGTTACGTCTATTTGAGGAATTATGTGTACACAACTGGATGTTAGCTCAGTAATGCTCAGGGCTTTTTATCTGAATGGTGTGAGGTCAGTAAAGATTTCCAGCATGCCTGTCTATTCTCTTGGCAGCATACCTGTTACTAGAAAATCTGGCTCGGAGATAGGCTTTGACTGGACCAGAACTGGGCCTTGGCTGACCAGAACTGGGCCTTGGCTGGACCAGAACAACTAGGCCTTGGCTGGACCAGAACTGGGCCTTGGCTGGACCAGAACAACTAGGCCTTGGCTGGACCAGAACTGGGCCTTGGCTGGACCAGAACTGGGCCTTGGCTGGACCAGGACAACTAGGCCTTGGCTGGACCAGAACAACTAGGCCTTGGCTAGACCAGAACAACTAGGCCTTGGCTGACCAGAACTGGGCCTTGGCTGGACCAGAACAACTAGGCCTTGGCTGGACCAGAACAACTAGGCCTTGGCTGGACCAGAACTGGGCCTTGCCTGGACCAGAACTGGGCTTTGGCCGGACCAGAACAACTAGGCCTTGGCTGGACCAGAACAACTAGGCCTTGGCTGGACCAGAACAACTAGGCCTTGGCTGGACCAGAACAACTAGGCCTTGGCTGGACCAGAACAACTAGGCCTTGGCTGACCAGAACTAGGCCTTGGCTGGACCAGAACTGGGCTTTAAATTCATTTTTTGCGCAATTGGGAGTAAAAACCATGGGCTACCATAGCGGACAGAGTGTCTTTAGACATCTTGTCAAACCTAGAGCGGCTCCCAGGAGGTGGAGGCAGAAAGCCATAGCCAACACAAGGTACCACAACTGACACGTAACTCAGGCTAGAGCTTACACAACCGCGCTTCCTAATGTAGGACAACCGGGTAGCAAGCAACTGGCATAAGTGAGGCTATCAAGTTATGCATCGGATGAAGGACCTCGAAAGAATGATCCTACTCCCATGGCAACAATAGGAAGATGACTACGGTCTCATAAATAAATACCGTGGTTGGCCACTCACCAGACTATGTTTATATTTGACCGATACAAGAGAACTTTAAAAACTGCCCTGTACAGGTTCAAAAACAGGATGCCACTGAGACCCCTTGAGCTCTGTCAACTAGAAAGAAGGTAAAGCTGTGTGTGGTGCACTCTAGTATTATTATCAGCAGAATTTTCACTGAATGAGGAACTTTTGGCGCTTTTTGGGAAAATGAAGTTTTTATAGCGCCAAGATGGGAGGGGGAGGGGGGTGTTAACGGTTTTTTTTTTAAAGGGCATTCCCTTTCCCGTCTACTTGAAACAGTGATCGCAAGACTCGGTGGAGTAGTTTTCAACGATTGTCATGCCATGCTGGAGACCATAAAAGCAGACAAGAATCACAAGTCGTGAGTCAATAGGTCCAAGGTCATTTGCATTGAGGCTGGACCAAAATCGTTTAATAGCTAAACGTCAACGGGCAATGACCAAAATCTTTTCGAATGAATGCTGTGTGATGCATTAATATTAGTCTCTCTCATTTACCCATCTGGTCAGCAACTTTGAAGGGTTGATTTCGTCATCATTTTTTTTTATTAGACTTATTTTAATGTTCCCATCTTTTGAAGTGTCATCTTCTCTGCAGTGCAATCTTTCATCAATGACATATCTTCTCTGTAGTGCAATCTGTCATCAATGACATATCTTCTCCGTAGTGCAATCTGTCATCAATGACATATCTTCTCTGTAGTGCAATCTGTCATCAATGACATATCTTCTCTGCAGTGCAATCTGTCATCAATGACATATCTTCTCTGTAGTGCAATCTGTCATCAATGACATATCTTCTCCGTAGTGCAATCTGTCATCAATGACATATCTTCTCTGTAGTGCAATCTGTCATCAATGACATATCTTCTCTGTAGTGCAATCTGTCATCAGCGACACATCGTCCCGCACTGATTCTTTTCGTGCATTCGCGTCGGAGCCATAGAGCCCGAAACCGCACCCCTGACGCCGCGTTCGAATTTGCGCACCGGCAAAGAATCCGTTAAACTGAGTAATGCTTGTCCCTGCTTTCCTCAAGGTCATGTTCAAGTATAGGCGACCTCCTCGTACAGGGGCGGCGGGTAAGCTGGGGGATAAGGAGAGCGTTTCTGTGCTCGGAGCTGTTGATACGGCACATGCTGGCGATATTGCGGCCCATACCGGGTGCCGCCGCACGGGGTTTTATCCGACTCCCTGATGATTTGCGCCCGCCGACGCCCGTCCACCACAGTGGGTCTCACGTGGATCACGGTTCCAGCTGGCCACTTGCTTTTATTGTTTTTGAGAATGCTTTTTATCCGTCTTTCCCCGGCATGACATCCAGAATCGGCCATCTGATTGGAATTCCCGTTTCGTCCTTCTGACTCCCGAAAGCGGCCTTCATTCATTTCGTTTTCCTCGTCTTCGCCGTCACTCAGTTTACCTTCGCTCTGGTCCCGTGAGTATTCGGTGGCTCGTTCGCGGTGCGAGGCGGTCCACGGAGCAGGGGATCTCTGTTGGAGCCGATCCCGATAGTTCCTGGAGGCTCCCTCCGAGCACAGGTGCAAGCTCTGAGGATCCCTGCTCCTCCCACCGGCGTCGCTTTCAGAGAGCTTACCGGTCGACGCGTACCCGTCATCTTCGTATCCCCAGCCGGCCCCGCCTTCGTGCTCATCGTCGCTGGTGTCGGCATATGCCGTCAAGTAATCGCCGGAATCGATCCCCCCAGCCCCGCCGTCGAAGTAGACAACATCATTGTCTTTGTTTCGCCACCTTTTCGACTCCTTATCCGAACCCACCCAGCGATTATCTCTAATCGGACCACTTAGGGGTTTGGGAAGGGAATATGTCACGGGTCGCTTTGCGGACGTTGCTGAGGTTTTAGTGAAGCCGGGCAATGAACCTCTCGGCGCGCGAACTGTGGGGATTCTTGGAGAACGGTCGCGCGCGTGGTGTGAAGTTCTTTGCTTTTGGCTGCGTTCTGGGACGCTGCTGTGCTTCTCCACATATCTCTGCTCCGGGGGACGTTGCTGCACCTTCCGACCGGAAGTTCGCCGGGCGTTGTTGCTTCTGTACACGTGTTTGTTGACGTTGCAGTCATCATAAACCATGGCGGCATCGTTCGGATCTTCATAGGCGAAGAACTCCGGGCCGACGGGATCACTTGTGTATATCCGAGCAACGCTCGGGTCAAAAACTGGAAAGTAGATAGGGGAGATTTCATAAAGTATTATTACCTTGCATTGATTGTGTGCGTGGTGAAGTATAGAGGAGGACAGTGTGTGAGGAGGAATATTATATGACTGTGTGTGTAAATTGAGAATATAAGATGCTTGTGTATGTATTAGGTATGAAGGTATGATTTTGTGTGTAAAGTTAAGGCTGTGGGAAGAATATGTGTGACATGCAAAGGTAATTGCATGTGTAAAGGAAGGTTAATTTTGTGTATGAAGTAAGGATAATAATTGATGTAAAGTAAGGATAATAGTGCGTGTAAATGAAGGATAATTGCGCATTTAAAGGATTGCTGGCTTAAGATTGTAAGTATTTTAAGGATAAGTTTGTGTATGATTTTCGTAGCGCACTACATAAATCAAGTAGGAAAAAACACATCTATTTCGAACAATGTACTTAAAAAATTCCGATGACTTCCCATGGATAACAAAAAGTTTCTTCGTCGTTTTTTTAAAAATTGTCCTCCCCCCCTTCCCCCCCCCTTTTTTGTACACATTTCTCCTGTAAGGGGATGAGGGGGCTACAGGGGAACAAAGCCCGCCTGAAGAAATGCCTGAAAGAAACACTACTTGATGGTAATGCTTTGTTCCCCAAATGGCAGCCAACATGATAAAATACGTCATTTTGTGAAGGAATTAACCGTCATGCACAATGGGCGG